CTTCTGGCCCTTTAAATACAGTTCCTCATGTTGTGACCCAACCATACAATTATTTTCGTTGCTACTTCATCACTGTCATGTTGCTACTGTTATGAATCGTCATGTAAATATCTGAGATGCAGGATGGTCTTAGGCGACCCCTGTGAAAGGGTCGTTCGACCGCCAAAGGGGTCGTGACCCACAGGTTGAGAACCGCTGGCTTAGAGGCAGGAGTGGCAGGAGGGCTCCGAGGGAGCGGGAGGCCCTGGGCCTGGCCGGCTCACCTGGAAGGGGAAGCAGAGAGCGAGAGGGAAGGGAGAGGCGGCGGAGGCTCACCCAGATGTGCTGCAGGTCCTTGCTGTTGACGGGGTAAATGATGCAGTTGGTGCCGATGAGCTTGACGGCGCAGTCGATGCTGACGTCGATCACGGTGCCGCACTGGCTGTCCTGGGAGGAGAAGGCACAGGCTGAGCCGCACCGGCGCCAGCCACCACGACACCCGGCCCAGACCGCCCGCAAGCAACCCCGCCGGGACTCACGGTGGAGCGCATGTGCCGGACCACGTCCCGGGGCACCACGGAGCGGTCCTCCAGTTTCAGCTGGACGAGAAAACACGTGTGAGTGGCCTCGGGAGTCACCCCAGGACACACCTCCACCCCGCGTCCCGGGGAAGGTGACACATGACAGCCCAGAGCACAAATCCCACGCGCTCGGATTTCATGAACCCCAGGAGCACCCCCTCACTGCACCCAGGGCCGGGGACAGAACTCCAGGCACTAACTCCCCCTCCACAGGCCAGCACGAGGCTTACGGCAGCCATGTGGATCAGTGTGGCGAAGGGACAGATCATGGAAGGCACCATTTAAAGTAGAGATTTAAGAGCCTGCTCTACACAGGGAAACATTTCCTAGGAGGGAATCCTTTCTGTACTTTCTGCCAGTGGCTGCCCTCGCCCTGCGATGAGGGCCGAGAAGGGTGGGCGAGCGTGATGCCAGCTGTGCGGGTCACCCTGAAGCCGCTATCAGCCAACACCACCTTCTAATCCGGGCTATCCTTGCTGGCCAGCTGCAGCCTGCCCTTATCTCTCTGCTGCGGTCCTGCCGGCTGCTGAGTAACGGGACAGCCGGCTGCGGGAGCCTGGCCAACTGCGCAGCGAACACTGGCGGCAGCCGCCCCCTCCCAGGGGACAGCCAGGGCTCCGGAGAGCTGCCTGTCCTCTGCCGGGCACGGGCCCCTCCACAGCCAGGCGGGAGCCGGTTCCCCACCAGGCCAGCCAGTCTCTTTGCTGGTCCCCATCCTGGGGCCACGCTCTGTAGTTCCTCATCCGTTCTGGTAATGGGGGGTCTCTGTGCCCATCTCCTTTGGACAGGCACCCGCAAGACCTCACACCATGGGGTGGTGAGCTGTTTCCTCAAACAACCCTCTCCACTCTCAAGCCTGGGCACGGAAAGGCGAGGTCCATGGAAGGAGAACAGACACTGGACAGGGTCACCGCAATGTTGGCGATGACGACTAAAGCCAATGCCGCTATAACTAGACTGACTTACAGAAAGGGAGCGACGACCCCGCCATCAATAAAAGCCCAAGGACTTTCCTCCAGGGACATAAGCCCTGACCCAGATGAGACCCCGGGGCAGACACGGAGACATGCCAGCTCTGAAACCTCAGGCAAGTCACGCGTGCACACGTGTATAAAGTGAGGCGACAGCAGCCCCCCTGGAGTGGCGGGGACTGAGCAGGGAGGGAAAGCACCGAAGGTCACGGTGCTAGCACAGGAGGTGCTCAGCAGACACGAGCTGTGAGCTGCCGGCCTCCGTGCCCCAGGCACAGCCTCTTCTCCTTCTGCTCAAAGATCCCAGGAGGCTGGGGGGGCGCGTGGAGCTGCTAAGGGTGGTGGAGTGCTGGTGCTACTCTAAGTCAGGGAACGCCCTCCCCTGTGCCCTCTGTGCCCTCTCTGTCCGGGACATGGCGTTTTCCGTGGGCCCCACCCTATCTCAAACCTCGGCTCTCATTTTAGACTTCAAAAAACCACAATTGCAGGGCTTTCCAAGTTGCCATAGAAACCAGAAGTCGCAGCCCCAGGAAATTTGATGGGAGAAACCACGCAGGCGGCGTTGGGTGGGAGGGAACGCCATTCTTGGTGTGAGCTGTGGCAGCCGGCACGGGACCCCTGAGCAGGACGCAGGTGAGTCTGTAGATCGTGTCCCCACCGGGGCGGTGTGTTGGTCCCCGAGAGAGCTTCCAGGACAGGGAGGGACGGGGCACAGGCACAGGCCCTACTCACTGCAGACTCACGGGGCTGAGCTCCTGCTCCGAGGCCCAGGCAGGAACAGCACAGCCGTGGGAGCTGGCGCACTGCGAGGCCAGGGGGCTTTCTCCTGCCCCCTCTGCCGAACTGCGCCTCGGCTCAGTGCTCCTGGGACCGGGAGCCTGGTGGCCAGCACCAGCCCCGGGGCTCTCCTGACCTGAGCCTGGCCCTCTGCGGTGTGACTCCACTCCCCGGGAAGCTCCTCTCCCAGGGCAGGGAGAGGAAAGGGGTGCGGTGGCCTCTGCCCTGGCGACATTCCCTGCCCTTGGCAATTCCAGAAAACGAGCAAATGGGGTCTGAAAGGGTCCCCAACGTCCGCTCCATCCCTGTGTCCCCGTCCTAGCACTGCCCTTCTCCACAGAGCCGCCCTCCCATCGTGTGCCTCTCACTGAGAGGCCCTTTCACGTGTCCTTTCCTCTCCCTCCTCCCGTCTCGTGCTCCCTGCACTTGATCTGGAAGGGACGGCTGTGCTCCTGGGGCCGATCGGGAGTCCTCTGCCTCTAGGCGACAGCACCGGCCCTTGCTCCTCTCCAGGCATTTGCTGGGCGCTGTGTGTGTTAGCCTGTGAGACCCTCCGCCCAGTGTCCGTGTGTAAGCACAGAGAGCCATGGAGTAAGTGCACTGTCAGTGCCCTTCCCATCTCACAGAGACGTCAACTGAGACGGAGAGACAAGGAGGGACTTGTTCACAGCCCCGCGGCTCCTGAGAGGTGGAGTGAGCTCAGGCCGCTGGCTCCAGAGTCCAGCCTGCCCGCGGGCTGCGGGTGAGAGCAGAGGGACCATATTTCTGCAGGCCCACACTTTCTGAGAGCCACTCTCCTGGCTATAAAAAGCAGTAAAAGCTCCCTCCACGTCGGGCCTGTGGAGGCTGCTGCTGTGGCCTCTGACTGCGGTGTCGTCTCTGGCTGGGGTTTCGCCCAGTTACATCAAGGAGAATGACATCGCTTCTCATCAGCAGCTGGTCTGGAGCCAAAACACAAGCCCACTGCCCTGGCCGCTGTGTTTCAGTTGGTTGAGTGTCGTTCCAGACACTGGAAGGCACTGAAAGGTCGCCGGTTCGATTCCCGGTCAGGGCACATACCCTCTCTTCCCCTCGCTCTAACAAATCAATAAAAACATATTAAAAAACAACAACAACAAACAAAGACCCAAGATCTATACGCTTACACACAGACACTGTGGGGTGGAGAACTCTGAACGCTTTTGGACTTAAAACGCCAGCACATTGGATTCAGGGCAGTGAGGCGGGAGAGGCAGGAAGGGTGCTGGTTGTGGCTGGAGCTGGGCTCCTCTCACCGCCTCTCCCTCAGCCGTTTCCAGTTCCCACTGGACTGGGGACGTGACTGTGAGACCCTCGAGTAGGCCAGTGTCAGGATGTTCTCAGAGCGGCTGGCATCATGTGGCTGTGCCCCTGACAGCCAGCGATCGCACCTGCCCACCTGAGGACAGAGGATTTGCCAGCAAATCACAAACGGCCTTGTGCTTGGGGGGAGGGAGGGCAGTGGGAAATGGCTGAGCAGAAGAAAAGACAGGCGTTGGTGCCCCTAACTAGAACCTTCTGTCAATCATGTGCCTCAGAGCCCATTCAACAGAAGCTCCTCGAAAACTAAAGACGGAGGCCAATCAACTCAATAGTTGTTGAGTGTTTTCTGTAAATTCAGAATGAGAAAGGAAGATAACATATAGGAATGTGCGTTGGCTTTACCGGAGGGCCCAAAATAAAATACCTGAAAACACTGATACACAAGCGAATACACTGCTGAGCTGGGTTGAGGGACACAAATTCCTGCTTCTGCATGGCAGTGGGGAAAGGCAGGTGGGGGAAGGCAGTGGGGGAAGGCAGGTGGAAAAGGCAGGTGGGGGAAGGCAGCGGGAAAAGGCGGGTGGGGAAAGGCGGGTAGGGGAAGGCGGGTAGGGGGAAGGCGTGAAGGGCCCACTGCACAGATGCAGGAAAGCGGCAGCAATAGGACACCCCTACCCCCTCTGCTGCAGGTGAGAACTGGCCAGGCCTCTGTATTCTCCACCTCGAGGGCCACCCAGGGACCGGCCGGGTCCTGTCCCCGGAGCCCACTCCCTGCCCGCACACTGCAGACCAGAAGCCTGCGGTGCAGCAGGACTGCATCACTGCCGCTGCCAGCTGCAATGGCCGGGAGGACAGAGAAAGGGGACTGAGCCCAACTGCCTGCTGAGTGAGGGAGGCCTGGGAGCTGCGCTGGCAGAAGGCCAGCTGGAGCCGGGGCCGCAGCTCTGCGGATGGCACAGTGTTTGGGATGCAGCGTCCTGGTGCGTCTGGTGGGAAGAGCGGGCATGGAGCCCCCTTGTCTTGGCAACCTGCTATGAAGGACCAAACTGCCAGCTCCAGAGCTCACTCCCTGCCACACCTCCAGCCCCTGCGGTGTCGGGCAGCAGGGTAACTGGTGGACAGGACCCCGGCCTCCCGGCGGTCGGTTCTGCAGTTCGGCTCGGAGCTTCCTCCCTTCCAGGCTCCTTTAGGGCCCTAGGAAGGACTTCTCAGCCAGAACTCGTCCTCACAGGCCTGGAGGAGGCCGCAGGCCTGAGGCGAGGGAGGGAAACTGACCAAGCGACAGCACCCGCTTCTGGATCAGCAACGGCAAGGGAGGCTCGCTGATCACACCTGCAGCCTCTGAGGACCAAGTGTTGGAACTGGCCCCACGGAAACTGAGGGGACGGTCTAGGGATTTACCTGGGCAGTGCTGGAACAGCAGGGTTATGAAGAAAAACGAGGCAGCCCTGACAGGTTCGTTGGGGGGAGAAGGACCGGGTTTCTTAGACAGACACGCACGGAGCCATCGCACGGCAGATCTGATGACTGGACAGACCCCGTCGGCAGGAACCGGACAACTATCAACTGCAGCCACCGCCGGGACAGTCACGCAGGACCAGGTGTGAGAGCCGCTTTTATTAGAACCCTCAGGTCTCTCTTAAAAAACAGATTCCTGATTTTTTAACCAACCTGCTGAATGACTCTCTATCAGGGGTCCTCAAACTTTGTAAACAGGGGGCCAGTTCACTGTCCCTCAGACCACTGGAGGGCCGGACTATAGTTTAAAAAAAAAACTATGAACAAATTCCTATGCACACTGCACATATCTTATTTTGAAGTAAAAAAACAAAACGGGAACAAATACAATATTTGTATTTGCATGTGGCCCGCGGGCCGTAGTTTGAGGAACCCTGCTCTAGATCAACCAGAATCTGTTTCTTAACATTCCTGGGCGAGACTAATAACGGCCCGGGTTACAACTGTTCCACTTTAACCAGTAAGTTTCCCTTTCTTCTAGAATGAAACAGAACCCCAACTACTTAGGGCATTTGTTTTTAATTTTAGAAGAATTTAAAGACATAAATCTGGGGCTCCAGATGCAGAAGCGAGGTGGTTTAACAAGTGAGGGCTGACTGGCACCGCCTTCAGCATCCCTGACACACGCCTGGAACAGATGCACATGCACCAGGTCCGCAAAGTGATGTGGCCCCGACTTTGGCTGGCTCTGCTCAGGTGGTCCAGCCTCCGGGCTAGGCCAGGTCCCAGACAGACACCAAGGACAAAGCCGCAGACTCTGGGACAGCTTTTAGCACCTCGCTGACCGAGAGGCAAGGGACCTGACCCAGGCCGGCTGCTGCCAAGCTGGCAAAGGCCAGAGCACCGCGGATACCTGGGGACACCTTCCAGGCAGAAGGCAGCTCCCGGGCCACGCTGTGACCACGAGAACCTGGTGTGTAGAGCTGGTTCCTGGGTGGGCACAAGCTGGTGCTTAAAATCTGGCTCTCCCAGCACCTACGAGCTCCAGGTCTGAGAAAGACGTGCCCTGGCAGGAAGGGCCTGTCCCTGCCTGCTCCCCCTCCTGCAGGATGGCCCCCAGAACCTCGGCTTACAGATGCTCCCACCCCCTCCTTCACTTTCCCACAGCGAACCCTCAGAAAAATGACAGAATCTTCAAAATGACGTCATCTTTGGTCGGCAAAGAGCTGAGGGCTCACCCGTCCCCCAGCGGCCCGTGATGCCCAGCCTCACCTCCTCCCAGCGCATCTCGGCTCCTCCATCCATGCGCCCAGCCGTGAGGATCGATCAGGAGCCACTCCCTGCAAACGCATCCTACCTCCCGAAGCAGACTCAGACGGAGAGGGCTCACTCAGCACTCTATTTTTAAAAATGCAAATACGGTGGAAGAGACTGTAAAAATAACACGCCAGAGCCCTGATCCAAGGCCAACTCCTTCCGCCCAAATACGGTGGAAGAGACTGTAAAAATAACACGCCAGCGATCAAGGCCAACTCCTTCCGCTGGGCCAGGTTCTCACTGAAGTAGGGGTGGAGTGCGGACCAGGGGCCGGTCCTCCTATGGGCTTTGTCATAGAAGACTACAGATCCCCAGCAGGCAGGCAGGCAGGCCAGGGACTCCCCAAGAGGAGGCAGGTGTGGAGGACGGCGTCGACAGATGGCAATGTCCCAAGGGCCCTGCTATGGTCTGGTCCTTCCTTTAAGGGCCAACCAAGCCACGGGAGGGTGAAGGCAGCCTGCAGGATGGTTTTGGGGTCTAAGCGCCAGGATCCGTGTGGCAGTTCTCGTGCCTCCCACCCGGGCCTCCTGAACGCGTCTGCGATTACATGAGAGGTCACTCCCCTCAGAGCAGTGCGCACTGTCCTGTAAGGGCTCAGGCACAGGAGCTGTTAAGGCAGCAGTTCTCAACCCGTGGGTTGCGACCCCTTTGGCTGTCGAACGACCTTTTCACAGGGGTCGCCTAAGACCATCCTGCATATCAGATATTTACATTACAATTCATCACAGTAGCAACATTACAGTTATGAGTAGCAACGAAAATAGTTTTATGGTTGGGTCACAACATGAGAAACTGTATTTAAAGGGCCAGAAGGTTGAGAACCACTGTGTTAAGGGAACACGGGGAGGGTGTGACAGGAGCGCCTGGCAGTAACCCGGCTGTTCTCGGGCCTGAGCTCCAGCGCGCCTCTGCTCTATCGGGGCGGGCAGGCAGGGCTGTCCTGTAGAGAAGTCTGGGCTTTGACATTTACTATTTATTCATTATATGCTGCTCCCTGATCAACTGTTGGCCATCCACCCACCCGCTCATAGACAAACAACACCTACTGCGCTGGCAGGCGTTTGCCGGCGTCTTGCCCACCACTCCATGGTCTCTCCTTTCTCCTGGGTTGAGTTTCCTTCTTCCTCAATACAGTTGAGGCCCGTTAGCGAAAACTCAGTTTCTTCTTTCTGTACAAATGCCTTTACTTTGTTCTCACTATTGAATGACGACTTAAGCTGGTTCCTGAAACAACTCCTTTTCCTCAGCACGCTGACGGCTTACTCCATCCTGGTCTGGCTTCTACTGTTACTACTTAGACATCTGCTGTTGAACCTAAGGAGTATGTCTTTCTCTTCAGCTGCTTCTAAGATGCTGTTCTTCCTTTGGGAACGCCATTAGGCCTGGGCGCTCTCACCCTATCCTCCGCACTCACTCTCTTCGTTCATCTGTGCATCTACTTAACTTCTTCGGATCTATTTCCTGGTTCCTATAATTCTCTCGTGAGGTGTGTCTACTTTGCTGTTTAACATTTCCACTGGGTTTTTAAGTCAATGATTAGATCCTTCATTCAAGAGGTTTTATTTGGTTGTTTATAAATAAATAGCCCCTTTTGCCCTGGCCAGCGTGGCTTAGTTGGTCAAAGCCCTTCTATCAGGAAATAGCCCTTTGAGGGGATTTGTATTTCAATTCTATACTTTGCAGGTTCGTTAAAATCCAAATCTCTATTATTTTAGGGCCTATTTAGGGGTCCAACAAACACCCCCAGAGCTGTCACATCAGTAGGCCTGCTCTGCTCTGGCTTTAAAGTCCCTCTTTGGGTTTCTCCCTGCCCCCTTTCTTTCCTACAAGCTCAGCATGTATTCAAAATCTGTGCTGCAGTTTACGTAGCATTTCTAAGTGTTGCAGTAGGAGTGGGTCTACATTTGCTCAGTCTACCCTGTTAGACTGGAAATCCACTCCATTGCCTGCTGGCTGCCCATGAGGTTGAAAAATTCCACGCATCCTCATTCCCAAACTTTTTGTATGCGACCTGTTTTTTCTCTTTGGAAGCTTTATTCCCAGTGTTCTGGAATTATACCATGCACCAGTTAGGACTTTTTCCATTCACCATCCTGGAACCCTGTGATCACCAATTCTGGAAAGATTTCTGATTTCTTTGACAGATTTCTGTTCTTTATTTCCCCTCTCTCTCGTTATAGATTGCCTAGATGTCAGAAATTTTTGTTCTATTTCCTCAGGGTCTTTGTCAACTATCCACCCCCGACCCCCCAAAATTGTTACTTTCCAACAATTCTTTCTTGTCCTGATTTTTAGAGCATCCTGTTTTATTTCATCGACATAATATTGGCTTATTCTTCTGAGGACATTCACTTCTTGTTTGAGGGCTTGTTCTGTCTGCAGCATCAATACTTTGTTTCCTGTGATGCTGGTTCTGGCCTCTACCCTTCATTCGTGTTGTGAGCCTCCTGCATACGTCCTGTTCCATGATCCCTGGCTGTCCACTCCTACTTCAAAGAGGTGGATAAGGCATCTTGTGGTGCTGGGACAGCTCTGTATCCTGACTGCTGCGGCGCTCACATGAAACTACATGTAATAAAATGGCACAGAACTGCGCACACACGTGCACCAATGTCATGCCCCCAGTTCTGACACCCTCTGTGCTTATGTAAGACGTACCCACTGGGGAAACTGGATGAAGGGCACTGGGGACAACTCCGTACCATTTTTGCAACTTCTTGCGAAATCTATAATTATTTCAAAATAAAAAGTTAAAATGGCAATAAAAGTTGATAGAAGCTTTGTGAACACAGAGGCTTTGGGCTGTGGAGGGTCGCACTGGCTTCTGCTCTGAGGGGCTGTCAGATGGCAGCAGCTGCAGGTCTGTCTCTGACACTTCACTTTTCCCAGAGGGGCCTCCTCCAGCCCTGCCTCGTGCCAGGTCGCAGCTCGCTGGGAGCAGGCGGGGGTAGGGCTGGGACCCCCCTTTCAGTGCACAGACTTTCACAAATCCCTCTTTCAGGTCCGTGTGGTGCCCTTTGCCTGAGGCACTTCAATCCGGAGTCTCTGTGGTCCGTTTCTCCAGAGCAGACACCTCTGCTCTCTCTGGGCAGAGGGGGTGGGTAGTCTCTGGTTTGCAGAAATGAAGAGGCAACTTGGGGAGTTCACTTTCTCCCTGTGCAGACTCTCACCTAACCCCTGTCTTTAGGCCCAAACCTCACTGCGGTGGGGCAACAGACAGCAGGTGCCTCCCGTCCCCGAGGGTCTCTGCAGCACCAGCGGTCCAGCGTGCTCCGCTCTGCGCCGTCTCCGCCCACTTTCCATCTTCCCAAACTTGCAATCCTTTGTCTATTATTGTCTTCCCTCCCATTCTTTGTCCTCTGGCTTCATACTTTAAAATCAATGTTTCACTGTGATTTCAGCAGCGTTTCTGGAGGAGGTGGAGGTAAGTGAATGTATTTCCCTGAAGGACGCCAGCCAGAGGTCTCAGCCTAACGTTGCCCATACAACCATGGGCACATTTGAAGATGGAGAGATGACAATAAGTCAACAAAAAAACAAGAAATCACAAATTTGCCCTAACCGGTTTGGCTCAGTGGATAGAGCGTCGGCCTGCAGACTGAAGGGTCCCAGGTTCAATTCCGGTCAAGGGCATGTACCTTGGTTGTGGGCACATCCCCAGTAGGGGGTGTGCAGGAGGCAGCTGATCGATGTTTCTCTCTCATCGATGTTTCTAACTCTCTATCCCTCTCCCTTCTTCTCTGTAAAAAAATCAATAAAATATATATTAAAAAAAAAAAAAAGAAATCACAAATTCCAGGCTCAGAAGTGCTTAGTTTCGACATTCAGCTACTTCATTTGGAGACCAGCTTGTGTTCCACGGCTCTCCCAGAGCTGCTCTTCTAAGAGCTGAAGTGGTGGGGAGGGAAGCACGGCTCCAGCAGAAACGCCCGCGAGCATCGGAAAGGGCCTCCTATCTGCTCCTGCAAATGGCTTTGGCTTCCAGTGTCAAAGGAACATAAAATCCCATCGGCTGCTGTGATGGAGCCATGACGGCAGGAACTGATCCAGGCCAAGGCTGGGCTCTGGGAGGAAGCCTGCCAGTGTCATGCGGCAGGCGTGGGTGAGCAACACTTTACACACTTACAAAGTTAAATTAGATTCTTAAATGCTAAACTAAAAGCAATCACCGAGAAAGTCACACAACATAAATAGCAGCGCATGTGCCCCTCAGCAGACAGAGCCTGCTTAGGAGGGAGGGTCTGTGCAGCCACGGCAGCCAGGATGCACTCCCAACGCGCAGGCCTCCGCTGCCCAGCACACAGGAGCCTCTCCCTCCTCTCCCACAGCCACGTCTCCACCCGCCAAACGGATACAGAAGCGACTCAGTTACCCAAGTCCACTCATGTCCATCACCAAGCATCTCACCGTCCTCCTGCAGAAGAAATGCTACCGTCCAGACCACGAGAGGCCAGAGAAAACAGAGGGGCTGGGCTCTGCCTCTGGAAAGCTGACACGGTGGCCGCATACTCTGGTGCACGTGACTGGCAAATATTTGAAAGCTGCCCCGCCCACTGTCCAAGAAGACCTATGGCACCCCCTTTCAATTCCAGGGTGAGTGTGGAGCCCCAACTGCATAACAATTAGAGCTTGGCTCCTGCAGAGATTTAATTTAAAGCCCTAACGCACACTTCAATAGGAAGGAGGCTACATCCCAACATAACGCGAGATGCCTGGCACAGACCCAATGACAGCATAGGGCAGCCACCACAGGATGTGGCGCCCACCTGCCAGGCTCTGAAGGTCAGGGAGGAGACCCAAGGGCAGGGCCTACGAGGCAAGCCAACGAAGAACCCAGTTAAAAAACAGGATTTACCTGAATAGACATTTCTGGAAAGAAGATACACAAATGGCTACTGAGCCCATCAACAAGCTGCTCGGCATCGCTGGTCACCGGAAAGCGCACCTCACATCACAGTGAGATGCCCTCGCACCCACTGGGACGGCTA